TGGAAAAAAACACCATAAAACCTATCTCCGCAAACCTAACCGATCGAAAACAGAAACTTAGCTTTTCCGTGGACGAAGCCACCGCACATCGCCGCGAGTTCACGAACAAAGCACTCTATTCCCGCCATCTCTAATGCAACTGTGACCACCAGCCTTCGGTAATACCTTGTTCTCTTCTATCTTCTTAAACTATTGATGCTTCTGATGTTGTTTTCAGGTTCAGAGCATGATGAAAGCCGATCGTGATTATGGAGGAGAGTGAAAATGTTGGGATTTTGATCTAGGGAACAAGATATTTAGGGTTTCGTCGCCCCCCTTTTGCCCCATTGTCTTGTTAATGTATTTTGTGAAATGAATACACACACGCGCTCACCACACTACCATCACCACTAATCACCGTTAACCCATCCAAATCACTATTATGCGCTCTAAATCACCCTCTATTTTTTTTCCTCTCTGTTTTATCCGTTAATCATTAGTTTTCCATTTAATCAACATCTTAACCCTTTAATTGACCAGTTAATCAAGTTTAAAAAAAATAATAAACAAATAACCTTTATTAAATTAACCAGCCTTCATTTTATTTAGTCAATCTTTTATAATTTGTTAACCAGTAACCTTTTGTCTTATCTATTAAAAAATAAAAACCTTTTATATTAATATTAAAACAATTTTCGTAAAATTAGTTATCCCTTTAAAGAATAATTAACAACCTTAATAAGTTAGTTTTTATTTAATTTTATCATAATTTCTTAGGTTTATTCTATCTTATTTATTATACCTTCTTTAAAAATAAATTAATTAACCTTAGATAATCAAATCTTTTCTTAAAATAATAATCCCTTTTTACCTAATTTATTGTGCTAATTATTAATTATCTTTCTAATGGCATCTTATATCTAATATTAAAAACTTTCTAGGAGAATAAAATAAACAACATTTTTTATTATAATTAGTTTCTCACATTAATTTCAATTTTCATAAATAAATCTATTTTACCTAATAAGTAAATCGTCATAACGTCTTATGCAACCTTAGACCTTAATTATATACTTAAATCCCATCTAAAATCAACTCGTCTTAAAATCAATCTCTTGTTTAAAATCGACCAATTAAAATCAACTCACAGCGTAAAATACAATCTAACTGTGCACTTCACGACACATTCACTCTCACACACCTTAGCGCTTTCATGCGTGTGTATGGTTTATTTTCCGCAATTTATTTTCCGTAATTTACATTATCACAATTTATATTTCCGCATCGCACCCGTCCAAAGGAAGAACCTACACGTGATTCAACAATCGTGTGTAGTGCACATCATTTGCACCATTTCCTCACGATCCTTGATCCCATTCAAGTCGATCTTTAAGATAGATCCTACCCCATAGGAAGGACCATTATCTTTACAACTTAGATACAAACACATTCAACACTACAACGTATTCAAACACAATAGAGAAATAGATGTTAATCATCTTAAGCGAGATAGAATCTCCACCCCACATCAATACAATCAATACCGTAGGAACTTTGCCTTAAGAGAGATAGAGGCGTACATCGTCGATCAATATCCGAGTACTCGAGCCCTTCTCTTAAGACGATGCAAAGACCATTTTCCTACAACTTGTGGCGGTTAAATCTCTCTTCAAATGACAACTCACCTTTTCTCCTAAAATCAATCAACCAACTACCCTAAACCCGTAGGAACTTTGACCACAGTCAAAGAACTCCTCAAACCCTTTAGGAGAACTACAGATACTCTGATTCCACTCCCGTAAGGATATGTAGGCATAAGATGCGATATCTTATCGAGTATACTTAGAAATAAACTCCTAGGGTCTTTCAACCCTTAAGCAGATAAACACATAGCAATAAACAAACATAAAATAAGAGGTTCATGTAGAGTACTACAGAAACTTAGGATGCTAGCACCTTCCCTAAGTTTAACCGACCCCGAACCTAAAACTCTCTAAACCTTGCATTTGCATTGTATTATGGGAATTTCGATCTTTGTCCCTTCCTTTGGACAAATCAAAGTTCAGTTGCAAATTGAATTAAAGATTCAAACTAATTAATAGTTTGATATCCAAATTTCACCGCGACAGGTAGCTTTGCACATTAACTTTCCACTTTGAACGACGTATTATTTGGACTTCCAAAACGAAAGTTACGACCAAAATCATCGGACAATACAACAAAATCAAAAATAGAAATTTTCATAATTTGGCCTAAGACAATCAATTGTCATAGGGTGATAATCGATTATCATCAAGAGGATTTCTCTACCGACTTCTCAAAACTCACGTTTTTAAGCCATACAATCGATTGATTAAGTGGTGCAATCAATTGTATTGCTAATTTTTTTCAAAAATTGAACTTGTGCAATTAATTGTCATATGGTGACAATCGATTGTCACTGCAATATTTTTTTCCAAGAAACCCAGTTTTCTTCATCGATCATCATCACTCTTATCCCTAAACCTTAATACACAACTCCAACTAATTTTTCTCAAAATCAATTAATTCACACACGTATTAAAGCATGAATCATGTTATCATAACCCTAACCATATATGACACTTATTTCATCACAACCCATAACAATTTGATCAGCAAATTGCATCATTATAATGAATAAAAGTTAAGCTTTTACACCTTCATCAATGGCAGAACATACAAACACATAATCATGATGATTCAGACATGGATTCAAACACAAGATCACATATAAACACACAATCTCTCAACAAATTTCCAGATTTTCATCATACAACAATTCATCAAAAGAAAAGCTAGGAACCCTAATAAGAGTAAGGATTTCTCATCTCTACCCCATCATGCAATACACCTAAATTGATAGTCATTTCTCTCTTCTTACCTTATATTTTCAGCAATGATGATGAGTTGAGCAACTTCTATAGATTCCTCTTCCCAATTCTAGCTCTCTTTCTCCCAAGCCCTTGTTCTTATTTGCCTCTTATTTTCACATACAGTCAAATTCTCCCCAAAAGCCTAACTTCTCTCCCAACTTTTAGAATATATAGTAACCTCATTACTTTTACCTAATTATTATTATTGTCATTTAACTCTAACTTCTCTCCTCTTACCACAAACTTTCCTCAGTTCACACAAATGGTACAAACTCCTATTTCACCAATTTAATCATTTAATTAATAATAATAATTAAATTTTCTATTATTCTAATTATTTTCTTATTTATTCCACATTCTTACCACACCCTACTATTACTACTACACCCCTAACATTATATAATCACATAATTTATTTTAAATCACACCAACATTAAATAATTGAGTAAAATAAATCCAAATAATTCAATTAAATAATTTAGTCGAATTTGGGGTGTTATAACTCTCCCACACTTAATCGAACGGCGTTACAAGTGTATGTGGATGAAAGAGCTTCCGCTTGAGGAGGAACATAGTGGATGAAATCACACTTGAGAGAGATATTTTTGTGTACAAGTGTGAGATGAAAGTCCTGTATTGCTTTGAAAAGTGGAGGTTTAACACTTTATAAGTGAGAGGACCCATACATATATTACTTTAAGGTTTTGGTGAATATGTGGTATTTCTCTCACTTGTGTGTTGCTCTTGACCCAATGTGGATACTCCTCATGATGATCCAACAATGGTACCAGAGCCGATGGTTCAATTAAGGGACCGATTTATTGTATTGAAAGTCTTCTTCACAATGTGGTAGTCAGGCGGCGTGTTCTGTTGTAGTGCTTGCAACAACGGTACAAGTGTATGTGGATGAAAGAGTTTCTGCTTGATAAGGAGCATAATGGATGGACTCATAATTGAGGGAGAGATTGGTGTGTACAAGTGTGAGTTGAAAGTCCCACATTGCTTTAAAAAAATGGAGGTTTATCACTTTATAAGTGAGAAGACCCATACGCCTATCACCTTAAGGTTTTTGGTGAATATGTTGTGTGTCTCTAACTTGTTTGTTGCTCTTGACCCAATGTGGATGCTCATCATGACGACCCAACAAGTGGTATCAGAGTCCTGGTTGACTCGGTGGGGGAACGAAAGTGGATTCTAGTGTGGGTCAAGGTTAGTAATGTAATGACTCACACTTGTGAGGAAGATTGTTGGGTTTAAAGTGTGAGTGTTAAAGTCACACATCGACTAAGAATAAAGGAAATATTGAATTTATAAAAGAGGTGACTCATACCCACATTACCTTAAGATTTTTGGTGAATGTATGACATCAAGGTCTTTTGGAATCATAAATGTTTTTAGTCTATAAACACTTTCGGACCTCCCTCCCCAAACTTTTCCAACACTCTAAAGCTGCAAAGCCATCATGTTTTAATTTTTAGTGTCTAAATTTTTTTAGTCTTTTAGAATGAGATAATTTTAAGATAATTTGAATTTTTTTTATATTCTTTAGACTATCTTAAATAATGCATTTTAATAAAGAAGAAAAGTTTAATATGACAATGCTTATAGGACAAAAAGTATTCAATTTGAGTGAATTCGACAAGTATGATTCATCAAATTGACATTGATGGTAAAGTTGCAAAATATTTTCGATAACAGGTTTATAACTGCTTTCAAATTATAAATAGTTACTTTTTTTTTAAAAAGAATTTTGTGTATGTAGTGTTAAGAATGCAAGTTCACTGGCTTCTTTTAAATTTTTGTGAACAATTTTCTAGTTTATTTAGAATTATTAAGAACCAATTATTGGAGCAAGTTGATCAATTAGAAGAATGATGAAGCATAGTACTATTTCTTGTAGATACATTTTATTTTGCCAACCATATATATGAGACAATGTATACAAAATTTTTATCTACCCCAAAAACTCTCTCTATGTGGGAAGGGAAAAGCATTAATCTCTTAACAATGATGACATTAATTTTGTTTGCGATGATTAAAAACCAAACTCGTAATGCTAGGGCTTACAACATTCATACGTTCTGCGCATCAACCATTAGCACTAGAATTCCGTAGTATTAAAATACATTACGATTTCACATTTTGTTTCTTCCAATAACCCTTCTCCTTGGATTCGATTTGCTGAATTAAACTTTGTTTTCTTCTTATTTGTGCTTGCAAAGATGGAGGATCATAAGGTGGAGGCATGGTGCATGGATCCGTGTTTGAAGGGCCCTTGACCAATGATTCCATCATAAATTTCTTTTCTGTTCCTTGTGCATTACACACCATTGATTCCACACATAGTTCAACAGCTTTATCACTTATAGAGGGTTGATATCTAAAGAGCGTAGCATAGGAATTTAAGAGATGAAACATATAGTCATACACATAATCCATCTTCAACTCTTGTTGAATGAAATCACTTGCTGTTTTTCCAATATTTTGTGCCTGATGAAGAACAAAAACATGTAAAATTGAAACAAGATTAAGGTAGATAAACAAAAGTGGATTGGTTACCTTTTCAGTGTGACTATTGCCCCAATCCACAGCATATTTAATGGACTTGCATTTATCATCTTCTTTAATGGGCCAATAGTGATGCACTGGAATTAACCCTCTCGTGAAGAAATCATAATAATGAGGTTTCACAAGTAAAGTGGGAGAATTACATGCTAGAATGTACTTTTCACTCACTGACCAAGCTGACCCTTCAATGTACACCTTATATCTACACACAATAATCATGATTCAATTTAAACATTCATATTTTTGATAGCTATACATATCAAATAGTTATAAAAAAATTACAACAAGATTTCAAAAACATATAGGAAAATGTAAAGTTAAAAGGATATAAAAATACGAATTCGAATTTCAATATTCAAATAAGAGAATTTATAAAATAAATGTTATACCTATGAGTGCATTGACTTGCCAAGTCTGATTTTTTGTACCCTTCTTGTGACTCTCGTCCCCAATCCTAAAACAACTTCCATTTGTTAATTTCAACAATGTCATTACTATTGTACACACAAATAAAAACTAGATTAGACGAGACACATTTCATATAAATCACGAGTGAAAGCTAGTACACGGGAAGGTGAACATTCGTTTGTCCAAGAATCATATTTGAGATCGTTCCATTTCATATATGTTAATAGAGGCTGATGAAGACGAATACCTGAGCATATAATCGAGCATTCCAATCTTGTTTGTCGGAAACATTACATGTCATGAGATCTTGTCTTGTTTCAGCAACACTTGGATTACCTTTCCAATAAGCATAAGGTTCTCTCTTATCCCATGAAATCCTCTTGTTGCCTTCTTTCAACTCTCTTAATAAAATCTCCCATGGTTTTACATTAACCTCAGCCCTATATAATCAATACAGTTTCTGATCACTATTATAAAAAATAAAATAAAAATAAAAATAAAAATAAAAACTTTTTAAAATCTATCGAAATAATTGAAGTATATGATTAATATATATACTTACCATCCCCAGAAGGACCAATCAGGAAAGACGAGATCCAATGTATCATCGTTACCGCAGTATCGAAAGAGTGGAGGTGGGTCAACAACATTATTTTGACCAATTGAAACAACAGGCCAATCAACACAATCAAACATAAGCTCCAAATCAGGTAACATTCTAGGGTACCTCCTTAACAGCTGTAGGATACCCCATAGAGTAAAAGTATCTCTTGTTTGAAAAGCTTTCTCATATGTTTCTAAATATACTTTTCCTTTTAGTATCACTAATTTGAAATTTGCCGTTGGTTTTGCTTTCTCTACCATTTCTCTTGTTATTCCTGTGTGGGCCCATGGCCTTAAATCTTCGTGGATCCAACGGAAGTAGTCAGGACACGTGGAGTTGGATGAACGGGCTTGATTGTGGAATGAAATTTCAGAATTGTTAGATGGACATGTTTTGGTGAGGTTGTATCCATTGCAATTGAGTGGAAGCTCAATTTGATTGATGGGCTTTATTGGTGTTTCGTATGATTTGGTAATTAGGATTGTTTCGGTTGATGAAACACTGGAGAAAATGTCCTATACATACAAACATTACATTAGGGTCGTTAAAGAAATTATTTTTGTATACTTTACAAGTTTAATTTCACCTATGTTAGGGTTGGTATTTAGGATTTAAATGCTTTGATAACTAGATGTGGGAAATTTAATTAAAGTGGCGTGGCGTTGCCGTTACTCTACATTATTTTCTCTACGCTAATTCAATGCTCATTGTTTTATTATATCATAATAATATAATCAACTAAATATATTTTTTTAAAATTTAAATAAGAAAAAACCATCGGTACATATAGATACACTTCTAACCTTAGTATTTACTAAGTCACTATAGTACTACTTAAGATACTAATCTATGTTGCTCCATTTTAATCAAATTATACCACTGTTAAAAAAATATCATTAAAATATTAATTAGTTTATTATTCTCTTTCATAGCGTTGCAAGGCGGTCTATAGCACGGGATCTCATAATTTTTCATGATTAATTTAGGGAAAAAAAGATCTTCATACACATATTTCACAGTTAAATAGGAGCTCGTAAAAAATTCACAACTAAAATAAAACTAATTTCGATTTTTTATACGGGACCTCTCAAAAGTTTAAGACGGCTCAGATTTAGTTTTATTGATTATTTTGATTTTATTTATAAGCACGTATATATATTTGAGGGAAAAAATATACAATGTATAACAAATGGACATATTTCTGTTTCATATCTTTTTAAAAATATTAAATAATAATAATAATAATAATAATAATAATAATAATAATAATAATAATAATAATAAAATATATTCTTTTAAATTTACTTATCAATTGTAATTAGAAATAATTAATTAAAATTTTACTTTTATAATAATTTAAAATACAAATCAATACTAAAAATGAAAAGTAATACACCTTTTATAAAATACCTTATATAAATAAATCCAAATCCAATAATGTAAATGTAATAATGTACAAAAAGGGATTTTTTTTTAATATAACACCTTTTTTCAAATTAATTATTAAATAAAATATTATTTCAACAAAATTACTAAATGGCTGGTTTTCAAGGAAGAGTTGTCATATGAAATGGCTACTCAAGTGTCCTAGACTTGATTCGCCATTTCATATGGCGCATGGGTTTATTTTGTGCCCTAAAACTCTACATTGAGTCGACATATGGGATGACGCATCTCATGTAGGTTTTTTTTTAATTTTTAATTTTTGTTTAAAAAGACATATAAAAATTATTTATTAATATTTTAAAAAATATATAATTCTAAAAACGGCATATCATATGTGGTCCGTACTATTTTATTTTTCTATAAATAAGACTGCACACTCATATATTTTTTCACAATAATTTTCACCAATAGACTCAACTCTTCATAATTTTGAAATCAGTCTAGAATGTCTGCATTTCTAAATCAACGTTCATCGTCGTCGTCGTCGTCATCGGAGGAACTGTTTCCAACATTTCCTCTAATGAAAAGAAATGTCCTAGTTTATTTTTCAACAACAAAGCCTCCGATGAAGGTGCTACTGTGGAATATGCAGATTTTGGAGCAATTGCATCGGGAACTGAACCTCTGGCTAGAAGGAGATACTGTTGCAGGTGAAAATATTAGGAAAATTGAGGGGTTGGTTAAGGAGTCGAGGAGAAACGGAGTAACTCATGATTGGAGAAAAGTGGAAAATGATGTTGACGTTCTTGTGATGATGTTAACACCAAAGAAGATTTATGTGGGTTTGTTGATGGTTGTGATATCCTAGACAAGTTGATGCGCTGTGTTGTTTTATGTGGGTTTGTTGTTATTTTCGGATTGTTATTTTGATATTAGGCTATGCTGTTGTTATTTTTGGAATGTTGTTGTGATATTAAGTTATGTTTGTTTAATTTATATTATTTGTTAATTGTAATCGCTTAACTATGCTTTCAATAGAATGAAATTTGTTGTTGATTTAAAGGGGCACGGTTACATTAGAAACTATGATCTTATGCTTGATCCTACATTGGGGCATTTTGTACGATTGTGTCCTGGTTGCCGACACGAACTACATAATCTGACCATTTTGTTTGTTACATCCATCTCCGTTCGAATGCGCATGCTATTATGGTGACCCTTTTTCTTTCTTCGCATCAAATCATTATGCCAGACAATTTTGCCTTCGTATGGAGGCAAATAGTCCTCCTTTGCCACCACTTAAAATCTACATGTGTAGACATTGCATAGACTTATCACTTGGTGAATAGCAGAAAGATAGTTGGTTGGGTCCTTGCGCGCTTTCGAACATGCTGCTATAACATGAGAGCAAGGCATAGGAAATGCTTGAAACTTTCCATAGTCACACCAACTCCTATCAAGTTCCACTCGGTAACATCCCCTAGGCCTTCCTTCATTGTAATCAATTGACTCGACAACACTGAACCAACCTTTATTACGGTCAAAGATTGTGACCACATGTGTGTTGGCTTTGGCAGCCTTGTCTTTCATGAATTTTGTTGAACTATTACTGTACAGCTGACCAGATTGTAATACTGAACCTCACTTTGTACTTTGTTACCAAAGAGTGCCCCGAGCCTAAAATATGTTGTCTTTACCAAGACAATTATTGGTAGGTTTTAGATTTCCTTGAAAACATAATTCATTGATTCAACGAGGTTAGTTGTCATGTGGCCCCATTGCACCCCATTGTCGTATTCCCTTGTCCATTTCTCTTTATCAATATTATCAATCCATCTTAATGCATCTTTGTTTGTCAGTCTGATCTCGTCACGGTAGTGTTTGCATGTGGGCTCTGTTAGTGCATATCCTACGTTCACAATCTTCTTCCTTAATGTTTTATCTTTGATTTCCCGCATGAAATTTTGGGCGATATGTCTTATGCAATACACATGGGTCGAGGGAGGATCCTGCCAACCGTTATCAAGGTTCTCATATGCACTCTCGATTGATGGGTGTCTATTAGAGATCAAACATAAGTTAGGTTGGGGAGAAAATTATAAGCGGAGATTTTTTAGGAAAAAACTTCAACCCCCAACAGTCTCCCCTTCAACTAGAGCGAAGGCTATTGGAAAAATGTTGTTGTTCCCGTCCTATGCCACAGTCATGAGTAGCGTGTCCTTATATTTCCCGTACAACCATGTGCCATCAACTTGAATAATAGGTTTACAATAAGAAAAGCCTTTGATACATGGTTCAAATGCCCAGAAGAGTCTGTGAAAAATGTCATTTCCACTAACGCAAGTCCCGTCTGGTATATACGCCGACATTGTCTCCAAGATGACAACAGTCCCTGAAGAATATTGTTTAAGAGCCACCAAAAAATTTCGAAATTCTTTGTAAGACTCCTCCCAATTTCCAAACACCCTTTCAGCTGCTTTATTCCTAGCTATACATGTTTTCTGGTACGAAAGAGTGTAATTGTACCTTTGAACCATATGTAAAATTATGGTACTCACCTTCAAAGAAGGGTTGTCGCTAATGATCGATAGAATCTCATCACAAATCAATTGAGAGCTGAGCTTACGATGGTCCTGCATCGGATTCGTGATTATACAAGTGTGGGCTGGACCAATTGACCCTATCTTCCATGATTCACTTCTCTTCCAGAAAGACGTTGTTAATCGAACGGACACACCTCGTTACGGAAATAGATCTTATACAGGGTCAGATTTGTTCGATCGACTCTATAATTTGCTGATAAGTCCATGTGATATTGTTTAATTACTCTGACACAATCTTCTTTTGTACGAAAGTTGTCGCCCTCTTTTAATAGTCCTTCTGTTGCGTAATTAGGGTTGTAAAAAATATATGTTGACGGTTCATCGTCACCTAAGTCGAGACTTGTCATTTGTTGAGGTGGGCAATAAACTTGACTGGGTGGAACTCCCTCTTCCTCATTGTTTACCATGTCGTCAACAATGTCTTCAGCTGCTTCTTCTTCTTCATCAATGGCATCGACTTCTGCGTGTTCCTCATCAGATTCGTAAAAAACTTGAGAAGAATCAAGTTGTTTAGACATTTGTTGTTGTTGTAACGTAACATATAGCACAATATCTGAGAAACCGGAATACTGATGACTCCGGAACATGTTACGCACATCTTCATTGTCTCTAATCTTTAATTGGAAAAAATTGCATTGCTCGCCAAAGAACACAGGATTCTTGTAGATTATTTGGCCAATTGGACCACACTGTAATTTTTTTTCTAATATCGATTTCAAGTGTAAAAAATTTGATCTTCTGTCAATCAAAAATCTAGTAACATCAGTATTTCAAAAATTGAAACCGACTGAGTTACAATAAAAAACCTCACCGTTTAAATGTGCACTGATCATGTATTGTGGTGTTTGAGTCATAACTAAAATGTTAGTAAACTCGTATTTGAAAGGATTGTTTTACAAATTGATATGATAACAAATCAACTATCTCTACTATATTAATAGCAATAAAGTGTTGTTTTTATTATTAGATATGCACTCATCACATGTCTAGGCGTGCCTACAAGACTATACTATGCGTGCCTACAAGGTTCTCTGCACGACAAGACTAAACTCTACGTGTCTACAAGGTTCTCTGCACGACAAGACTAAACTCTGCATGACTACACTCTATATGCCTACAGTCTGCGTGCCTACAAGATTCTCTGCATGGCTACCCTTACAGTCTGCATGGCTACACTCTGATTCTATGCATGCCTACACTATGCAATATGCATGCCTACAAGATTCTTAGCATGGCTACACTTTGATTCTATGCATGCCTACACTCTGAACTCTGTGTGTCTGCAAGATTCTTACTAATAAATGTATACACATGGCTATAGTATTAGTCTCGCAGGAAAAAATAAATACCTTTAAGACTACACTCTATCAATCAATGACTGTAAGATTGTCTGCATTCCCTTCCAATGACCAAGAATCTTGTAAGACAAGACTACACTTGCATGCTTCCCTTCACCCATGTCATAAAAATTTAGCATGCATGTTTGACAACACTACACTCTAGCAAAACATATATTGTCACAACACTCTGCATGCATGACAATACTACACTAGTGTTTTTGACTTCATATGCATGACAAAACCACACTTGCACGCTTCCCGGAACCATTGTCATCATGTTTCAGCATGCATTAATAGTGACCACACTCTGCACGAATGACAACACTACATCATTCATTTTCATGTGACTCCTGCACTTAGAAACTTGCACACTTCAACATGCATTTTCATGTGACTCCCGCCCTTAGAAACTTGCACACTTCATCATGCATCACCATGTGACTCCTCTCATCACATTTGACCATTATAAATACATCAAGGAACAAACTCTTCTCATCCCATTACCAACTCTACTCCTCAAACGTTCTACAAAATCTTCTTGTCACTCAACAAACTTCACTCATCAAACTTCACTCAGCAAACTTCACTCAGCAAACTTAACCCACAATGTCTCTGCTCACAATGGGCAACGATCACAAAAACACAATTGAGAATATCGCAGAGTTTGTAAGTATTTTGCTTTTTGTTGTCGATCTTTACTAAGTTTAATTTTCTTATAAACCTAATGGCATTTATATTCGTTCGCAGGATGTAGTAAGGTTTCGCTGTCGTGTGCATGACTACATACCACACGACCCTTTAATATAAGGATACCTAGAAGCATGTGGGTTCAGTGATTTGATCAAAATCAAATCGTACTCATTGGATCCCAAATTTATTCTAGCGTTGCTAGAACGCTTGAGACCAGAAACCCACACATTTCACCTACCTTTCGGTGAATTTACCGTAACTTTACTGGATGTATACATGTTACTTGGCCTACACATCAATGGTAAGGCCGTCAACGACAAAGTTGGTGTTAATGACCAACTTTGTGAAGATTTACTCGGTGCCCCTCTATGTGTCGACACACCTCAACCACAACGTGAGGGTCGACCGAGGGGGCAAGGTATTAATTTGAAATACCTCAGTCAACACTACAATAGTATCGTGTTAAATGAGGAATCCACCAAGTGTGAGAAGATACTTAAAACTCGGTGCTATATTATGATATTGTTTGGCCATTTTTTATTTCCAAACAGTACTGGAAATACTGTAAATATTATGTATTTATCGTTGTTGCACAACATTAATAAAGTGTGCACATATAGTTGGGGTTCAACTGTCCTCGCCCATCTATATAGTGCATTGTGTAAAAATGCAAAAAACAATTCTTGTACTTTTTATGGTTGTGCTTATCTCCTTCAAGCGTGGGGTTGGTCTAGGATGACAACACATGCTCCAATCAACCGCAATCCATTCACATTCCCATACGCTAACAAATAAGTTTATTTTCAATACGAGTATACAAACGATGTTTCTTTGTAAGTTAATCATTTGTGCAATGTTTCTTAGTAACTAATTTATTTGTGTTTCTCTTTTTTTAGGTGATCTGTTTCAAGAATGAATTACCAAAGTTGTCCCAGGAACTTCATTATCGTGTACCGCAACCTTATTGAACACATTGGGTCAGATGATGTAATTTATCTACCATTACTTTGTCTAATTGATAAACACATACTTGTATTTCTCATTACATATATTGTTAATGTAGTTTGTCTGGATGTCGTACGAGGGTCTCGACCACCAGCCCAACACCAATGACGATGTCGTGTGGACATCTAAAACACCTATCATTCGGTTCACTACAGTGGAGATGCACCAAAGTGACCGGGTGAAACTACAATTCGGGATGCATCAGGATATTTCAGATACTCCAACGTTATTGGGACAGTGGCATCAGCTAAGGGTGGATACACAATAGAGTGTAAATCATTGGAAGGACATGGTGAAAGAGATGTGTCTGCATTGGAAGAACCGACATCAACACATCTTAGATGACCCTATTCTGGAAGGGGCTAGACCAAGTTATCAATATATGATTTGGTTTAGGTCAGTTACAACCTTACAACAATTTGTGTCTGAGCCGACATATTTGATTGACCCAAGGCAACATGCGTCTTCCTCGAACCCACAACAGCAACCCAATGCCCAACATCAAACACCATGCTATACCCAACATCCAACTATGTCCATCAAATTAATCTTCCAAAACCGCAACCCATACATGCCACCAACCCAATCACAACAACAAGAGCCTTACCCCTACCGCCAGCCTTCTGAAACCGATACCACTTCTGCATATTGCCCTGATACATCTTTTGGCCCTACCCCGTCCACCTATAGCCCAAATAATTATTTTGACCTCACACCAGACAATCAATCTTCCTACCAACAAAATACCTATCCACTTTTTGACTACCAAACTCCACAACAACCAATACATCATTTCCAAACCGATTTGATGTACCAATTCGGACAACCATACCATCCACACCACACTCAACCTCCCCGACAAAACTACGAAAGCATGGACATTGAACTTAATTACGGAAGCGTCGTTGGCAGCGGCCAACCCGACTTTTGGGGTCAAATGCTTCAAAATTTATCTGATACGTCGGAGCCATCTCAACAAATACCTCTTCCACAGGTAAACACGCAAAGACCAGATACACCTCAACAACCTCGTGATAAACCTCGACGTCGCACGAATCCTCCCCAATGTAGTACTGGTGGTCGTTTAGATAGAGCTGACCATTAATTTTCTTTTTCTCATCTATTGTAATTTATATTATATTATAAATTATATAATTTATTATTTCTTGTATTTATATTTTTTATAAATTATTAAAAATAACAAATTTTATTATTTTTTTAATTAAACGTGACAAAAATAAAATATTATTAAAATATTATTTAAAGGTGATAAAATAAAACAAAAATCAAAAAAAAAAAATAAAAAAAAAAAAAAAAAAAAAAAATAATAATAATAATAATAATAATAATAATAATAATAATAATAATAATAATAATAATAATAATAATAATAACCTTACATGAGATGACTCTCATCTCATATAGCGACTCAGTGTAGGGTTTTAGGGCACAAAATAAACTCATTTCATATAGCGAATCAAATTTGACAGAGTCATCTTTCTTAAAAAAACCAGTCATTTTAATAATTTTACTAAGATAATATTGTATTTAGTAATTAATTTGAAAAAAAGGTGTTATATTAAAAAAAAAATCTACAAAAGGAGCAATTATGGATGAATCCATGTCTAATTTACGTGGTTGAAACAATTGGGGCAAAATTATAAAGTGATGTGAGTCGTAAAAGTAACGTGTGGGACCTAAAGGACACGTGGCATTCTAACACTCTTCTCATTACAACCATAGATCTTAGGATTTTAATTTTTGTTTGGTTGACCGACACTAGCGGTGCTCATTTCAGCCTCAGAAATTTCTACATCCTTCTATATTATTCAAATCATTTTTCCATTCATAACTTTAAAGTTCTTTTTTTATATATATAAATATAAAGAAAGTCGTTAGTTTGAAAAGATAATGAAACATTATATCGTTATTGCTATTGGACAGTTGAATATTGTTGACAATTCAACCAAGTCACATCTTATCTCTTGTGGAAAAAGGTGTCAAAAGGATAATTTGGTTGGCAAGAGTTAACCTAATAATACCAAAGTCATTGAACTTGTACTATATTCTTTTCATGTCCTCTTAACTTGTAACAATTATTCAATTCATTTAAAACTTTTACACGTAAATTAAGTAATTTATACAATATTATCAGAAGATATTATATTTATTAAATTAATTTTATTAATATATTAAAAAAAATATATAGAATAATAATTATATAATAAAAATCGAAAAATAGCATTCATTATTGTATTAGAAAGTAAAAATAACATTCATTTTAAAATAATTTTTTTTTTAAAATTACAGTCATTTTAAAACGGAGAGAATATTACTTACCTTTTATTAGATAGATATTCTAATACACATAATAATATTAATCCAGTCTAAACAATATTTACATTTTTCAATTTGACAATTATTATTTTTAAATAAAATTTTATATAAAATTTTACAGCAAAAACAGACAATATACAAGAGATTGGTTGTATTATTATTTTATAAGAAAAATATATTGATGGAATTTAAGGGATGTTCAAATCCAATACACATATAACATTTTTGAATATATATGTGTTTGAGAGAGACATTTAAAGAAATTCCATTTTTAAATTAAAAAATAGAGAATATAGTAGATATATTAATGATTATTTAAAATCAATAATTTTTTATATACATTTAATTCTTAGAAAAATATTTACCATATTGGTTTGATGGTAAAATAAAATATCAGCTAGTCAATTTTTTTAAAAAAATTTAATTTAATAGTCTATCGAGTAAAATTTCATCTTTAAATAAACTTTCATTGTCATTTGTAAAAGTAATTTATGTAAATAGAAATTAGTCAGCTTTTAATAGTTTAACTCTCGAGATTGACAAATATGCCTAGGTGGAAGAGAATGTGAGACACAGCTATTCTCATGTCTGTTTTGAGTTTGGAACAACCATAACTTACAAAACAAATAACTAACGTTAAAAATAGCAAACTCCACGAACCAATCAACCAAAACAATACTAACCGGAGTTTCGATGAACCGCGTGTACACCAACGCGCCGACGATTAACACCGCCGGCAAAACCAATATTACGGCGGATCTCAACAACGATTTCATGAACGCACGCCCAATTATCTCTTCTGAATTACCAATTTGCCCCGATCCGTAATTTTCTTTCCCTGCGTACTGTACAACAACAACAAAAAACATTGTTATCTCAAAAAACACACTGTTTCTTCTTTGATATTATCAATGTTAATGTTATTATTTACATACCCTTTTGATGTTTTGAGCTTCTTGCAACTCAGAATACCAAAAGATGAAAACTTTGAAATTGTTCTTCTATTGGGTCGATGTGTTTTCAACAATTGGATTTGTCTCTCTCTGCTTCAAAAATGGAAGCATTTAACACAACCTACCGTTTTTTTTTTTTGTTATTGAGGCTATGGTTTTGTGGAATAATGGCTGAAGAAACAGAGAAAAAATAAATTTGGGTGAGAAAAAGATCACAACTAAGAAAATGTTAAAGAATTTCTTTAAAAATGTGACAACAGAACAAACAATGACTGAGAAAATAAAATGAATCTGTGAATTTTCTATTGTGGGTTAATTTGAGTAGACAAGGATGGCAATGGGAATTCTGTCCATCAGTGAGACTAAAAAAGAGATGTAAGTTTTTTCTAACGTGTCAAAAGGCTTTTTCATCATATATATATATATATATATATATATATATATATATATATATATATATATATATATATATATATATATATATATATATATATATATATATATATATATATATATATATATATATATATATATATATATATTAGAGGAAAGAATTAAAAACAAATACATAATGTATTCCATTTATTTTATATAAGTAAGAAAATCATTTTTAAATTTATTGAATAATTATATATTTAATCTTTAAGTAAATAAAAAAGAAAAAGAGAAAAATGAGGAAAACTTTTTTGAATTGAATATCGTGAGTGCATACAGCTAGCCGTTCACTTGAATGGTTATTGCTTTTATTTATTGAGACTGCAATAAAATCAAATGAAAGGGTTCTTTCTAATGTCTTTAATGGCTACAATTTTGAGAAAAGTATAAATCTTGAAGAATTTCCTTTTGCAATGGTCTTTCCTCATATTGGAATATTAACTATTGGTTTGGTTTATATTTTAACATATATATCTCTGTTTCATTTTAGAAAATAATATTAAATTTATTTTACGATATCAATAAGAATTTATTGTTAAATTTTTCATTATATTTTATGAATTTATTATTCTCTCTTCTTAATATATTATCTTATATTTTAATATAAAATTAATTACGTGCGTGTGCGTGTGTGCGTGCGCGCGTGTGTGAAAATTAGAAAAACTGATTTGTTCTGTATTAGAAATTCCTAATTGATGATATAAGACTCTGAAATCGGTGATGTTGAACTTTGGCACGGTGGCGTATGGTGGACTTGGTAGGTTAGTACTCTAATGCTCAAGTCAATTACACAGTTCAAGATGAATATAGTGAAAAATGAAAATCAGAAAGTGTACATTGAACATCACATGTGCTAACTATATATGTTGGATAAGCTTGATTAGGCTTGAGTATGATTAGGCCTTCTATTGAGCCTTTGGAAGACCCAGAATAGTTTCCTCCTAGGCTTATCGGGCATATATTAGTTAGGAAGTCTTTTAAAGTTGTGGCTGACCTCTAGAGCTTATGTTTGATCATAGCGAGAAATAAGAAGGTCTTGGAACAATTACAGAAGTAACGGGAACAAACACATTAAATGATTTTCCATCATTGAAACATTTTGTTGGTTTTCTAGACGCGTGGCTTTAAGTTATCAGTTTAGGGTATGGCGCTTCCTCTTAGGGCATTCAAATGTATTTGAGCTCACATGCATTTCCTGTTAGACGATGGCATGGATCTAGAAGGGGGGGGGGGGGATTGAATAGATCCCAATTAAAAAATCAGTCGGCGCTACCAATTAAAATTAGTTTTAAAAATATTTGATATGCGGAAGCGGCCTTGGAAAAATACCGTCTATAACGAACCATTATTAGAAGACTGGATATGTGTCTAGCCTTATGGAAATGATAATGAGCAAATAGAATCACCACACTAGTCACATTATTAATTGATTAATATCACTAATTAGTAAGACTAGTTCCAATGCTACACAATGCCAACAAAATATGTAAACAATACAAGTGAATTTTGGTGTAGACAATTTATCAAACACTTGGCGTGCGTAGCACTCCAAGTGAGTTTTGCCTTGAGTAAGTAACTCTAGCTTCCTTGTACAATACACTATTGTACTAGAGTTAAAAACAGTGTTACTCACTTACTCAAACGAATGTTAACTTTGATAAAATTGCTTATACTAAAATTACTCAATTATCAAGCAAAAATGAAAGTGCTAAAAAATAAAGGAGACAAAGATTTGTTGAGGCAGTTCCTCCGCCGTCCTCGCTTCGGGGTACGTCTGCCCTCAATTCTAAAAATAGAATTGAGCTCGATATAATATAGATATCACCCGTTGAGTTGAAACTTTTATACAAGGATAGACAAGTAAAATATACAAACAAAATCTATGGTTGTTGATGATGCTTTCTCTCCTTGTTCCTTGATTCAAGTTGAATAAAGTCCTTCGATTGTTGTGGATAGACCTCCGATTACAACCCCTTTGTTGAATAACCTTGTGTTCTTCAAACCCCAGCCCGGCTGATCTCAAACGCACACAAATTGAACCCGAAACTCTCCTACGCAATTCACCGATTGCCGCTACTAGATTGACGGAACCCACCGTTCCTCAATCACCTTCACTCAGCTGAATGTTGTAGAGACGATTCGTACCAAAAACCCTCAAATTCGACGAATCTTGGAGGACAAAACCTTCAAGGTTTTATTCAAGAAAAACCTGCCCCAAACTCAACCCGAACCGGATTCCCAATCGACGGCTTCAGACATTATCACCTTGAATAAACCACAATGCACAACAAGAATTGTTGTGTGTAATTGTTGTGTTGTGAGATGTTGAAGATGAAGATGATGAGAACTAGGGCACCTATTTCACTTTTCTTGTTTTTGTGCAATTGACTCAATGTTTTAATTATTGTTGAAGAAATGAACCAAACTTCTATTTATAGTAACCCAAAAACCAACAAACATAACAACTTTTCAAACTAAGTGAAAGTCTTCAATGTATGCAGAAAATGCAGCGAGCGGACGACCATAGCAGGACTATGCATCGACGCATAGCCTGCAGTTTTAGAGAGATTCAAAATCTTAACAGCATGCGTCGACCATAGGTCAGCGTGCACCGACCCGTGGGAATTCATACTTTTCCATGCGCCTACTGTAACGCCCCAATTCTGATTTCCCATTTTTGTTGAGTCTTTTTTATTTATTTGGACGATTATTATTTTTAATTGTGGAAATTATGTGTTAACATATTATGTTTGCATATTATGCTATTTTACCGATTTTGAGAGTTTTCGGGGAAAATATATTGGAGGATTTTAGACATTTAGTGTTTAATGTTAAGTTGGATATTTTGTGAGAAAATAGATTAATAGATGTTTTAAGAGAAATAGAATAGAAAGAGATATAAGTGAAAAGAAAAGAGATAGAGGGTAGGAGAGAAGAGAAAATGAAGAGAAAGAAAGAGAGAAGAAGAGAAAAGAGGAAAACTTGGAGAATCATCAAGAACAACATCTAGGCTTCGATTTAATCGGGTAAGGGTGTGAAATCTTATTATCTTCTCAATGTGTATGATTATGTATGTGTTTGTTGAATTGATTTGGCTTGTTGGAGAGTTTTTACTCATTTTCCATTTTTAGGTCGAATGGTTATCGGTAGGAATTGATGATTTAACAGTTAGAATCCTGAGTTTTTGGTGTAGTTTAGTCGAGGAATGTTAGGCTAAGACTACTGGAACTTGTTGGGATTGAATCGGGTGATTTTGAGAGTTTCAAAGAGTTTTGGACAGTTGGGGTTTTGAACATCGCAGACGTTCACTAGCACCTTCGCTAGGCGAGCAAGTCGCGAGTGTTCGCTGTAGCGAGCTAGTAGCGAATGGTCCCAGACTTGGACAAAATGTAATTGACCCTCTTCGCTGGTAGCGAGCGAGGTAGCGAGGGGTTCATTAAGCGAAGCCCCAGAGAGTAGGTAGCGAAGCCTTACAGTAGCTTCTGTTTGCCTTCGCGAGCTTGTTCGCTAGGAACTCGCTAGGCGAGCAAGCTAGCGAGTGTGATAGCATTCTCATTTCTTGTTGTGTTCCATCCAATGTTGATTGTTTGGCTCGATTATGATCGACCTGTCTGAATGTATAGTTGTATGAGGTGATATGTTATGTTGTGGGTAGCCGTATGACGTGAATCCTAAATTGTGGAATTGATTGTGAAATGTGGCATTTTGGCAAATATATGCATTGTTTAAATTGATTAAAAATGCATGGTGATTATGATGGAGTTTGTTGCCGTTTGGCATAGTATTGAGAATGCATATTGATTGTATGCGATAGAATGTGATGAAAGATGAATAAAATATGGAATATATATTGTGAATGTATGATGATTGTATGAGATTAGATGAGATGATAATGCATGAAAACATTATGAATATGTATGCATTTCAAGAAGTGTATGGAGTCATTTTTCATGTGAGGCATCATGATATACATTCTTATGTTGTGTGATTCTAGTGAGAATCTGTCGTAACATCGTGTGCCCATGAGGAGTGTAAGCGGCGGTTACAGATGGTTGTGTGCCATGCGGGGTGTGAGCAACCGGGTTGTGTGCCCAAGGTGGGGTGTGAGCAATCCATAACATTGTGTGCCCATGTGGGGTGTGAGCAATGGATGAACATTGTGTGCCTAGGAGAGGTGTGAGCAATGGTTCCAATAAGTTCCTGAGTGAACTTGAGATGATTGAGTCGGTACCGCATTTGCATCTGCATAGAGTCGTGGGTCGGTCTCTATGAGTTGCATTTATCATCATTAAAATTGTGATTGGTGAATAAACATAATTGTAAATGTTTATGTGTAAATGATGTGAATTGTAGAAGCGTGAATGTTGAATATGTTTAGTTTAGTATAT